TATAATAAAAATATATCTGTAAGAATCTCTCCTTGCACAGTTGTACCTTTGTATTTGAAGAGAGCCATGGATATAAGTTGATTCTTCAATCTCATTTGTGGTAAGATGCTTTTACCACTTTATCTTTTCACGAGAGTTGGGAGAGTAGTGAATACCCTGTTTTATCTTTTTCCAGATTCTCTTTGGCCCAAAATCCGGGTTCCATTAAAAGTTGTGAGGACGGCTGAAAACAAGTTGAGTAACCGTTTCTTCCCTTATGATGAAATCGAGACAGAGGCTGTCCTGGCCATTGACGATGACATCATTATGCTGACCTCTGATGAGCTGCAATTTGGTTACGAGGTAAGGAGGTTTTAAACAATATGTTTATATGTTTGATATTTACTGCCTATTATTGCTTATGTTTCCTAAAAAAGTATTATATTTCATTCTCTAAAGTCAAAACTTCTAAAAATCTCCCAGTGGAGTCCAGAAGCTATGTGTAAGAGCGTGCGTTATGAAACTGTTCTTTAAAACCTTGGGGAAGCTCTGTTGCACAATGACAACTGTGCCCTCCACTGGTTTGCGGAACTCCCAAGGAGAAGAGTCCCAGGGGATATTTTCAAAAGAGCATCTATAGCATTTAACAAGCCCTTAATTGATGTCTCCCTGAATAGCACTTCTCTTGACTCAAGCAGCTGGGCACCGCAACAATAAAAACATCAGTAAGTGAAGAAGCTGGCGACACTGACAAACAGAGTGGACCCTGTTGATGGCTTTCTTTCTGAGTTTTAAGTGGAGAGGCTGGCTGCCTGTCTTTAGGGAGAAACATTCCCTATCACCGTTCATTCAGTGTGGCTGATGGATTAGGCTGGGTTCAGGGGTTAAGTATGGAGACCAGTAAAGGTCTTCCCAGGGGAAAGTGGCAGAGCCCAGGCCTGGTGAAAAGCAATAGGAATTGATGGGCCCTGTCAGGGTGTACGTGAGATGCATGATGGCCACAGGCAGGGGCCCGCGGCTGCGGGGTAAAGGTGGTATCAGACCTAAGCACGCAGAGTGTGCAAGTCGGTTAGCTACATTGGCACAGGGGACAAGGGCAAAATTTATCCCTGTGGTCACTCTGCCTGTAGGAGAGAAGTAACCATTTTCTTTAGTTAACTCAGGATTTGTTGATTTGGGGGTTTTTAAGAAATCATAAAATTTTATTAAATGAAGCCCTATTTGGTACATATATTTATTGTAGAAATTTATTTCCAAATCCTTAAATTAAAGCCAGGTTTTAAGGGAAAACAAATAGGAATCCCCCCTCCTACTACCATCACAACCAAGAACAATTAAAGGTTCAAGTTTTCCCAGGTTTTTAAAAATACATAGCTTCATTTGAATGTAAAAAAAATTGTTATGCAATAGATTGATGTGTGATGCCCTGGTTGATACAGTTACAGGCCAATGAAAGGCAAAAGAATAGCTAATAAAACCTACATTCATCTCTTTTGGATTTATTTTCATCCATAGGAGATGACTTTTACATCATAGCATCTGGGGTGTTGGATGATATTTAATATACTATCCTTTCCATTTTTAAAAAAAGAAAATTGCCTGCTTGTTTCTCTAGCCAAGTCATGGCAAAAAGGCTAATTTTTTCTGCTGGTGTTTTCTCTCTTCGTTGCATATAATGGCGTCAGACTCTACCTGGATGTTTATCTTTGTGGCAGAAGTAAGGTGGGGAAAGGGAATGTTCAGAATGATCTGGACAAGATGGGCAAAATGCTGTTGCTTCAGTATTTTCAGTTGGTCTAAAAAAGGTCTAATAAAAGAAAGGTGGACTAAATGTATCCCTGGGATTTCTTCCAACTTTGAGTTTGTTTCAAGCAGCAAAGCATGTTAATGAGAGGAAGTTTTGCAAAGCTTAGAGGGTGAGCTCGAATCTTTACCTCTTTCTTCCAATTACTTGTGTTTAATTCCATATTGTCTCTAAAGAGGGCATTGTTTATCAGAGGAGTGAACTCAGAAAGCTGCCTCCTGGCCATTAATCAGAATCTCCAGATGCTGTACAACGAACAACTTTCTTAACTACCTTCT